CTGTCAATTGCTCTTCTGTTGCTTAGCACCTTGTCGTCAGAATGTCATAATACAATCCACTAGTCTCTAAAATAGAGGGAAGAGAGTAGCCATGTAGCATGGTGGTTGTACAATAGAAATTGTAACTCAACGTCATGGCAGACAGACTAATTCAGGAGGTTGGAGACTCAGAGTTGAAAATGATTTCACTGTTGTAAATGTTCGTGAGGAAGTGAGGACTGTACTTATACTTAGACAATTTGGCATAGTGTATTAGTCAAGAAAAAAAAAAATCTTCTTCCTTCGTTAAATATTAATTGCAACAAAGGGTATTATCTATGAGATATAAAATATTCCTTTGTTGCAACTAATATAATTATTGTAATTTCATAAGCAACATCACCCCAAAAGACAATAATACCAATTTCTGACCAAGACACCTTTTTTGCTGTTTTAAGACACCTTATACTTCATATTTTTGAACAGTGTTAGTATAGAGGTTATAACAAACTTATCTAGAAATCACATATGACACTCAAACACCTAAATTCAGAATAACTCCAATGTAGCACACTATGCTACATAAAGTCAAATAAGCTTTTACTAAGAATCAAATTCTTAACTTCCAAGGACACAAAATCCGGTACAATAACCGCAGCATCTTACAGCATTATACATGCACAAATTACACTAACAACATTGAATCAAGGAAGACCATAAAGATCCAAAATTTCCATTTTTAGCAACTTTTAACATCCAATTCAGAAAAGGAAAAGCATAATTCCATCACTCCAAAATTCAATTATTAACGAAAGCGTGAAATGAACAAGAAATGAACAAACCTAAGACTCACTGCCTAATTCATCAAACGAGTCTCGGGCACTAGGCTACACCCATCAATGTAGGAGAGTCGGACCACATACAAGCACCACACACAAGGTCCGTCCTAAAACCAATTGGTAATACTAGGAGTAACTCGAATACGAACAATAAAATTAATCAGAACAAAACAACTTAAAAGATAAACATTAAACAAAACCCAATTGACAAAAAGAAGCAAAACAAGTAACAAGCTTTAAAAAATTTAAAGGAAGCAAGATAAGTGGGGCATACTATTGAGTTCATCAAGCCAACGACTAACACTCTCAAAAGTAGTTTTGCGGCTGATATCATACACAACAAGAGCACCAACAGCACCTCTATAATAAGCAGAAGTAACAGCTCTAAATCTTTCTTGACCAGCAGTATCCCAGATCTGAGCTTTTACTTCTTTCCCATTAATTTCAACACAAACTGTCTGAAATTCAACCCCAATTGTTGCTTTTGTGTTATGATCAAATTCATTTCTTGCAAATCTTGATAGTAAATTAGATTTTCCAACTGCTGAATCCCCAATTACTACTATTTTGAATAGGTATTCTTCCCCTGTTCCTTCTTCTTCTTCCCCCATTTGATTGATTGAGAGAGATTGGAGAAAAGGGTGTGTTGGGATTTAAGGGAATTGAAGGAGAAGAAAAGGGGGGAAAGGGAGGAGGGTTTTAGCTTTGGAGTGAGGCAAAGTGGTGGCAGAGAAGACTGCGCGATTAGCGGGTGGAAGTAGTGAATGTTAGAGTGTAAGGCTTAGACAATAATCAAAGGGGATAGGTATGGTCATATGGCCACAACTTTGTGTCCTAATTCTTGCATTAGACTAGGGAGCAAAGGGGGACATTGGGACGTGGGGGTGGCTCTTATGATTAAATTATAATCGAATACGACGTATGTTATATGGTTGACTAATGTGGTTGATTAAATTACAGCTGAAGATGTTACGGAGCTATGTTACTTGGACTCAGATGAAGTGTCCAATTAGACACGAGTGTCCAAGTATCGGACTCGCGCATTTTCTTAAAAAAAATTGTGTTTTTAGTTAAAAATGAAGTGTCCAAGTGTCGGTGTCCGACACGAGTCGTGTCGACACGGACACGTGAGGTAAATGAAAGAGTTCGAGTAACATAGTTACGGAGTATAAGGCTAGTTGGTGGCACAATATGAACATAAAAACATGGCATGTCACATTGTCACGGTATGAGCATGGCATAATGTGGCTATGTGGCTAGATGTGGTAAAACATGTTAAGATTGACTTAGGTAAAGCAAACACAACATGACTAGGGATGGCAACGGGTCGGATCTAGGCGGGTCCGGATGGACCCGGATCCAGATGCGTTTTTGTATGTAGGATCCAGATCCGACCCGGATCCGTCGGGTCTAGAAAATGAAGACCCGGATCCGGGTCCAAAACGAGTCCAATATATTTTGCCTAATTTTTTGCAAAAAATGTAATTTTCGGGTCAAAAAATTTATTTCAAACATACGTTGTTGGTTATTAAGTTCAACCCCAAATTAACCAACTTATACACTCATATTTTGAATTAAAATTAAAAACAACAAAAAAAAAATACGTTGTTACATATGAGCTAGTGAAAAAACAACGATAATGTATATAATATGAGCATCTAAAATTCATCTCTTGAAAGGGTTAATCTTTATCATTACTAACATTATCAACATTTTTAATAAAGAAACAAACAATTTTAGTTTTTTTTAATAGGAAAAATAAAAAAACGGGTTCACGGATCTGGATCCGGGTCTAGGGCCCAGACCCAAATCCAGATCCGTTTTTGTCAACAGGACCCAGATCCGTCGGGTCTAAAATTTGAAGACTCAGATCCGTGAAAAACGGATCTGGATCCACGGATCCGGGTCGAGTCCAGATCCATTTCCGTGTCATGGGCTTAGGTCATGTTTGGATAGTACTTTAAAAGATTTTGGCATGACATGTAGGTTCCATGAGATCAATTATGAATTAGGCCTAGTCAGGCGAAGGCATACAAGCTCAACACGAAGACACGTCTCAACATAGCCCACGACTATCTTTGTGTGTGGATTGGAGAGTAACTAAAGGGATGGAAATAAGTGGATTTCAATCTGATTTTGAACCAACAGATATTTCCTTTAATAATGAAGTATGTATGTATATATATATTTTTTTCCTCTTTCTAATCAAAGAGGATTTCTCAAGTAGATGGTGGAAGAGCCAAAACAAATAACGCCTACCCCTATTATGTTAAATCTCTAACCCTACAAAGAGTGGCTTAAAGTCAAAAACCATTAAATTTGGGATGACACTCTTGTTCAAGCCTACAAGGTGTTTACTTGATTGTGTCTTTTTCTTATTTATTTATTACATATTTTAATATTTTATTTTATTTTATTTTAATTTTATTTTTTATTTTTTTATATGAATAAAGATCTCTTTTATTTTACCTAAGCTAAAACTCGAGATCAAAGATTAATTGGGTAGCCATTACAAATCAAGAATCATGATTATACATTAAACACTATCATATATTTATATACTTGTACAGAGTAGGTATTATTGTATAATAGTAGTATCCATCTTTTGAATCAAAGAGAACTTTTTTTAACTTTAGTCCATGTACAATAGACAAAAAAAAAAAAAAAAAAAAAAAAAAAAAAAAAAAAAAAAAAAACTTATTTAAATATGTATATTTACAATGTTTATACATTGTATTTATTTTAATTATTATTTTGACTTCACTTTTAGATGTATATGTATAAAATGATTAACATCTTCGTCCAAACCCTTATACATATCCACTTGACCACTTCAAAACAATCTAGATTTTTAGCTACCTTAATCTTCTAGACTATATATTGAATAATAAATACTTCAGGAATTAGAAAAAATCATAATTGTCTTAGTCGTTGTGGTGGTCAACTTAAATATAATATCAGTAGCCAACACTTTTTAAAGATATCCTAATATGTTGATTGTTAGCTTGTTAGTTGTTATCATAATGTTATGTATTGTAATGTTAATTTAAGCTTCCATTTTCAACAAATTTAGAATATTCTTTCAATCACAATAAAATAGATCAAAATTTGCGTCTGAATTGATGTGACTAATTACGTAACCCTTCTTATTATCTAGTTAGGCTGCAATCAATTAATGCATGTATTATAAACTTAAAATGTATATGGTTCTATATTTATCCGCAATTAATTAAATTGGTTTATTAATCAAGTAGGTCTAAAGGACTAATGGTAAAGAGCGGGTTTCGTGTATATTGTTACTTTAATTTTGGGGTTGCAAGTTCGAATCCCCTCTTCCTCGTTTCGGTCATTTATTCATTTGTGTAATGTCTTTGTCTTTTTGGTGTTTAGAGAGCCAAAAGACGGGGTGAGAATCGATCCCAAGATCTTTTGGAAGCGGGAGGAAAGCTTTAACCACTTAATCTATCCCACACTCTCCGTGTAATGCCTTTGTGACTAAATAAATGAAATTGGTTTCACAGCTATTGTTTTCTGATACATAAATACATTGATGCAATATTAGCAATTCAATAACATTATTAGTCAACCTTTTGATTTGGTTAAAATTTTAAGTGGTCAGCTACATGCTTTATAAAGTACGTACTAGCATTTCCATTAATAAGTGGGCAATATGTATTACCAGAATTGCATCCAATGTGGACTGCATTACTTACATTTTTAAATAGTATTTCGTACATTATTATATTAGGAAGCTAAGGTGTGTGTATTGACGTTAGACAACATTAATTTTTGCTAAAATATGAAATATAACGATCATAATAAGTTTGAATAGTTATTATGAGGTTACATCTATAAGCTTAAGTTTGTTGGTGTAAAAAAAAAAAAAAAACTCGTTAAAGGAATTAAAATACGAATTTGTACAAATGTACAAAAATTTACCAAGTCACAGAGGACTGCAAATTAAAGTGGTTATTAATATTTGTTTACGTATTACTACATTACGATTTGTCTTTGTCTCTTTGAGGAATATAACATTATAACCAATCAAGAATCAAATCACATATAAATTGAAACGTCAACACGTCATAATATTGCTAAATCTATTTTTTTTTTCTTTTTCCAACTTCAGTTTAAGATAAATAATATTGAATCCAAAATCCAGTTGCCTTAAAGTTGGGGGTTTTCCCTAACATTATAGGATATTCTAGTTCAATGTCAAGAATGTCTGCTGCAATTTACCCCCACATACATCACCGATAAGCTAGCTACCCTCTACTCCTCTACTATATAAACACACCAATTTTGCAAGAAATTATCCAAATTACAAACTAACCAAATTACTTAACATTATTATAACATGGCTTCATTTTTCCATATAGTTTTGTTACTTTTATTGTCAATCACATATTCTTCAGCTGATAATCCCACAGAATACTGCAATCCAAACACTGTCATAAGCAGTAGTAGCCAAATATCAGCTAACATAGACCACTTGTTAGCTGATATAATCACCAAATTTCTGCAAGGTGACACCTTTGTCGAGGCCTCGTATGGCAACAACAAGGACACAATCTATGGCCTAGCTCAATGCAGGGGTGATTTAAGTTCAAAGGACTGTTTGGACTGCATCCAAGACGCAGCCAAACAGGTCCGAAAACTCTGTCCTACCCAATCTGATGCCCGAATTTGGTATGACTATTGCTTCCTAAGGCATAGTCAGGATAAATTCTTTGGTAATGTAGATACCTTTCCAGGCATATTATATAAAAACACAGAAAATGTAACAAATCCTGTTATGTTCAACAAAGAGTTAGGGAACATATTCGATAAGATTGATTCAAAGGCGGTCAAGCCTTCGAGTGGAGGGCTAGGGAAAGATCAGAAGAAGTTGACAAATTTTGAGACCTTATATGCTTTGGTTCAGTGCACAAGGGACTTATCTCCTCTGTCTTGTGGACAATGTTTGGCTCAAGCAATTCAGAATTTTGAGGGATTCTGCAGTAATAGTATTGGTTGCAGAGTTTTGTATAGTAGTTGTTATGTTAGATATGAACTCTACCCCTTTTTCTTTCCTTTAGAAGGTCAAAATTCAAAAAATAAGGGTCATTATACAAGGAAATTAGTCCCTAATCATCATTAAGGTGCCCCTAATTGTTACAGTAGTACTGTGGAATTACAGAAGGAAATAAGCAGACAATAAAAATGTTTTTTTTTTTTTTTAAAATAAATTGTGATTGAATTGAAAGTAATTAAGGGTTTTTCAGGCTTTACAAGATGTGTTATGTATAATGTATTGATTATTGAATTATAATAATAAAATTTCCTTCGGTTGAATTTTTGTGTATCAAATTATGATAGAAGATTAAGATATGCTTTCATCAAACATTGTCATGTGAAATCTTCTTACATTTGTATTATTGTGAATTTAAAATTTATGACATTATATATCATTATTTTGTAATATACTTCGATTTCATAATATTATTGCAACATAAAGAGAGTGCACAATTTATTTTAAGAAAATAGGTATTAGATGGGAGATGGAGGACCACAAACATATGTAATTCATCCTCAAAGAAAATCAGTTAGGGTATATTGATTTGCACCATGCATGTAGATGCGAAATTTCTCTTTTGATTTAATTTGTTAGATTAAAGTTGTCTCATTTCCTTTGTACTTATATATGGTTAAGTTATGTAATACGGAGTATATATATTTCGATTTACGTACTTTATTTCCTACCTTACCTACTAAAAGAGTAAAAGACAAAACTACTCATCAATTCAATACAAGTCTTACAAAAACTAAGAGATAAATTTAATCATAAGTGTAAATATTAAATCAAAGGATACGATGCAGGGAGGATGGGTTTGCATTTAGCAATTCATTCAAAATTTGGGATGACAATCTATTTGAAGTTGTGGATCATCGACTTAATAATGTATTTATTCAAAATTAAAATATTTTTTCACAATATTTACGGCCTTGCCGAAATTCGGTGCTCAGTCACATGCTGCAGAGGCGTAGCCACATTTGAAGCACATGAGTTCAATAGAACACATCCACTTATTATGAGTATAATAATTTAAAACATATTCAACTCTGACTAATTTTAATTTGAGCCGAGTTTTCAATTACTATTCAATCTCTTGTCAATCTTCTAGACCATTTGATTATATAATTGAGAACAATTGGACATTGAAAGGGAGATGCATGTCATATCTTAATCGGTGTGGTCAACCTTTAGAGTTAACAAACACTTTAATTATATTATTCTTAAGTCTAAACTATTGATTGTTAGACTGTTACTCCGTATGATATTGTAATGTATAACCTCCATTTTCAACAAAAAGTAAATCTTCTTCCAATCACAAATTCACATTAAAATAAATCAACATTTGGGTACAATTTGAAGTGGCTAATTACGTAGCTCTTTTAAATAGATGGCTGCTTATTTCATGGTTATTGTTTCTATCTAGATGTTACACCATAATACAATGGTGCAAAATCATTCGTGAACATCTTAAATTTGGTAAAATTCAATTGGCCAACTCCATGTTTTATATTATACCAGCATTATTTGTAATGTAGGCGCCGTTAATAAGTGGGCAATTAGGCCATTTACCCATATTGATCGCATCCGATGTGGACTGCATCACTTATATTTTTTATCCTTTTCTTTTTTAATTACATCATCTCCTCTTGTATTACCTTCAATTTTTAATTTTAGTTGCAAGTTTGGAATGTTTTATATCTCACAAATAATAATCCAAAGTTGCAACCAAAAAAAAAATCAGAGGTAGTAAATTTTTTATTTTTATGAATAATCAACTCCAATTGAATTTTTTTATTTTTTGAATAATCATTTTTCGAATAATCAACTCCTTGTACTTTTTTTATTTTTGAATAATCATCTCCTTGTACTTAGCTAAACATTCCTATCAATATTAGTATTCAAACAATGTTTGGTTAATTCTGAAAATTAATAGATATAGTGAAAATCGGGAATAAAAAGGCCGAATTCTAGAGTCACGCCCAACTAGTTCTAGGTGGAGTTGCGCAACACAAATGACGAACATTTACTTGAAAAAAAAAGAACATTTACTAGAAAAAATTAACATTTATTTCTAAACATTGCAATATATAAAAATGAACATATATAATATACGGAGTAAGAGTAAAAGAGACTATGAAACTGAATAAAAAAAAAAAAGATTGTACATCTAGTATTATACGTATTATAATTGAACATTTTAGTTGTAAATAAAAATGAACATATAATGTTATTGCTTATTCATCAACATATTTTTAAACTTCAAGTGAAATACTTGATTTGTTCAATCCTCTTGAATGGATATCTCGCAAATCGCTAAACTATATGATTTAATACCAATTAAAAAAAAACAATATGTTTTTAATAATGAACAAATTAAAATGCTATTGTCTATCATTATAATATTAATACTAATGTAAAATTAATTGAACATCCTTTGCTATAAAAACGAACATTTAATACAATTGAACAAACACAAAAATTTGTATTAATTAAAAAAGAAAATGAACATTTATTCTATTAGAATGAAGATTATAAGACATGAACATTTAATTTATAAGAATGAACATTATACGACATGAAAATGATTTTTTTTTTATAAGAATAAACATCACACGACATGAAAATGATCGTTGGATTATTGTAAAATACAATATTAATGTAAAACATGTTCAATTAAAAAATGTTCATATATTATTATAGGTAATTAAATGTTCATTTTGATAGCGACTTCATAACTACGTAGCTGGGCTCGACCTCAGCTATTAACGATTATTTATATAACGAGACAAATACGAGTATACAGGTATGTGTACATTATATAAGAGTATGTACGTGTTGGAATTGTAACTAATAACTTGTACGTCAAGAATGTCTGCTACCATATACCCCACATCCAACACCAATACCTTACTAACCTTTACTATATAAACCCACCAATGTTTCAAGAAATTAACCAAATTAATTACTTCAATTCAATTCATACAAATCATTAGAGAATTATCATCATATGGCTTCTTTTTTCCATATAGTTGTGTTACTATTATTGTCCCTCACATATTCCTTAGCTGAAAATTCTCAACTAGGAGAATATTGCAACAAAAAAACCATCATAAGCAGTAGCAGCCAAGTATCAGCCAACATAGACCATTTGTTAGCTGATATAGTCACCAAATCTCTTCAAGGCGCCACCTTTGTCGAGGCCTCGTATGGCAATGGCAAGGACACTGTCTACGGCCTGGCTCAATGCCGAGGTGATGTAGACTCAAAGGACTGTATGGAGTGCATCCAAGATGCAGCCAAACAAGTCCGAAAACTCTGCCCTAACCAATCTGATGCCCGAATTTGGTATGACTATTGCTTCTTAAGGCATAGCCAAAATAAATTTTTTGGTAATGTGGATTTATCATATGGAATATTATATAAAAACATAGCTAATGTCACAAATCCTGATGTTTTCAACCAAGAGTTGGGAAATATGTTCGATAGGATTGATTCAAAGGCGGTTAAGCCTTCGAGTGGAGGGCTTGGGAAAGATCATAAAAAAGTGACTGATTTTGAGACCATATACGCCTTGGTCCAGTGCACAAGGGACTTGTCTCCTATGTCTTGTGCTCAATGTTTGGCTCAAGCCATTCGAAATTTCGAAGGTTATTGCAGTAATAGTAAGGGATGCAGGGTGCTGTATAGCAATTGTTATGTTAGATATGAGCTCTACCCCTTTTTCTTTCCTTTAGAAGGTCAGTTTCCAAATAACAAGGGTCATTCTCTAGGAAAATCTGTCACTATACATCATTAAGGTGCCCTAAAAGACTAGTAATAAGGCATTAAAAAGTTTGCTAAGTTGTTATTTGAAAGTTATTAGTTAAAGTTACATAAGATGTGCTACGAATCTAAGATGCAGCAAAAGTTGTAACTGTTGTAATATGTGCATGGATTATGCATGTGCGATTGTGCTTACTCCTTTCTAATTAAAGTTTAATACAAGTGCATTTTATATGGTAGAACAATGATGCAAAAGTGCAAATAATGGAAAGATTCAATTTTATGTCTTAGATTCCATTGCATAATTATTTCATCGCATATTAAGTAATCACTCTGTCCCTTATTTTTTAGTCCATAGAGGTAATGTTACTTCATTAATTTTTTATGGGAAAAAATGATGATATCAGATAAAAATGGTGGGGTTAATGGGATGGTTTAAGAGTAAAGGTGTGGTTGCATTACTTGCATATGCCAAAAATAGAATGAGGTAAGATTAAAAGAACAGACTAAAAATTTGGCAACATTAAAGGATTACTTGTTACTCTGATATCCTAAATTAGTGTACTAGGACACTAACACCCATTAATTGTGAACTAGTGTTTAGTCCGGGCGATGCCCAGGATCTATACGTTAAATATTTTTTTACTTCAAATTGTAGTTTTCTTGTATTATAACAATCTTAAATACTTTTATTATAGATTTAGATTAAGAAAATAATTTGTATAAAACAAAAATCTCATGCCATACATTAACTATATTCAAGAAGAATAAATAAACAAAGTATTAGATAGCAAAGATGGTATGACTTCCATTTTCTAATGACTCGAGTTCAATCCTTGACATAAACACTTTTTAAGTTGATATGTTCCAATTTCTCCTTAGTGACATGACACGTTCTTAGTATAAGAGAGGTGTGCCACGTGGCGTGTGTGTCCTTGATTAGGAACGTCTTTTAATATATAGTATAGATAGATTAAAAGCTAGCTCTCTCCACCTAGATTGAACACGTGTCACATGGCACTATATTATTGGCTTCTAAAATGAGAAGTTAAATGTTAAATGAGAAATATAACAAATCATGGCTTGAATCCTCAACTATTTGGGAAGAAAAATAAAAAATATAATGCCATCTATTATCGAAAAATTAGCTCTAAATATTCTTAACTATTGCTCATGTGCACAAAATAATACGACTTAAGGTATAGATTCTCAACATCACCACTACCTATTCAAGTATTTGTGCAAAATAATATGACGATGATCAGAATGGGCATCTTAGGGAATATTCTGCTCAAAATAGTGCAGCGATTTGTGTTCTTCATTTCCGACTCGCAGAATTTGCATGCTCCGTTAAAGTTTTGGGACCCTTAATGCTCAATTAGCAATTGAAATGGGCAAACAAAAAAAATGATTAAAAATGTCTCAGTTTGCGTGCAAGAAAATGCCTTGCTTATATGCTTGAAAACCGAGGCATTTTTATGCCAATTTCAAACTCAAGTTTGTTTCTTAAGGGTCAAAATAACCTCTTAAATCCTTAATCGAGCGATTTATGCGGTTAAAAATAAAGCACACAACACAAGGCATTTTCTTATAAAGAGCTGTCAATTCGGGTAAACGGTGAAGGATTTATGTCTTCGTCGTGTGCAATTACTAGATATATAAATTGATCAAATTATGGAGATAATTAAGTTCGTACATTTGGGTCGTCGTTTTATCATAGCTAGAGGTACTAATGATCTTTGGGCTAATAATAAAATAGCCCAAAGCCCAATTGGACGGATCCTATAAGGTCACACAAAGGGGCTAGATCGAGCATTAGAGGACGAGGCCCATCATGGGCCTCATCTCTCTAGGTGGCCGACCATGTAGGGGAATTAAGAGGGTTTTGGGCCTCGTGCCCTAGTCTAATTATAATGAGATTATAAATAGACTAGGTTCCTAGGTTTGCAAATAAGCAATTGACTTCAAACCCTAATTAGCAAACACGAAGCCTAACCCTCTCATACTCCTCTCTCTCACGGCTCTGTCCTCCTCCTCGGCGCCGGTGGTGTCTCGTGGTGGTGGTGGCTCGTTCAGTGGTCGGTTGTCCATAAAGGTGGTGATCGCGGTTTTCCTCGACCACTCGACCAATCTAGTATTGGTGGCGGCTCGTTCGAATCTCGTCGACTAAGTAGAGGAGAAACATTTGGGGCTCTATTCTCTCCCTGATTTGCCTGTCAAATAGCTACGTGGAATTCACGCTTCAAAGGTATGATTATGTGTCTTGTGTGTTATGCATGTGATTCTTGGGATTAGGTGCTTAATTGAATATGATTCATATTATTTCCACTGCTTAGTAACTATATACTCCTACAAATAGGTCAGGTTTGGGTCGGGTAAGAGTGGATCGGGTCAACTCGGGTCGGGTCAATTTGGATTAATTCCATAACCTATGCGGGTCGGGTTTGGGTTAGGTCATGCTTTAGTCAGGTCACATCGGGTCATACTTCTTATCGGGTTTAGGTCGGGTTAATAACATGTCAGGTTACATTCGGGTCGGATGAACAATAGGTCGGGTTTAATTCGGGTTTTCACGGGTTAGGTAATTCTCAAGTTCGAGTCGGGTTCGGTTTAAGTCAATAATTTACGGGTTAGAATCAGGTCTGATCATTCTCGGGTTTGAGTCGGGTTCGGTTCAAGTCAATAATTTGTGGATTATAATCAGGTCGGGTCATTTTCAAGTCAAATCATTCTCGGGTTCAAGTTGGGTTCGGTTCAAGTCTATAATTTGCGGATTGTAATCAGGTTGGCTCATTTTCAAGTCGGGTCATTCTCGGATTCAAGTCGGGTTATGTTTAAGTCAATAATTAACAGGTTACAATCAGGTCGGGTCATTTAAAAATCAGTTCATATTCGGGTTCAACTAACTATAAATAGATAATTATCATATTTATCAAGCTAATTATGTCCTTTAACTATAAATAGGTTTTGACATGTTAAAATAGGTTAAGGTCAATTTCAATTCAACTCGGGTTCGGTGCAAGTTAATTAAATTGGCCGTTGTAAATCGGTAAATCGGTGCAAGTTGTAAACCGGTAAATTGGCCGTTTGACAACAAATTGGATGGTTCCACACACCCAATTGGACTCCCGTAGGATATTAAGGACCATGGTAAACATTCGGAAATTTTTATTTCTAGGCAAAAAAGAATCAAAAAAATTCCAAAATTGAAGGCTTATATCCACATTTTTTGAGTAATTTTGGAGGTTTCGGAGCTCGGTGTCGAAAAGTCTTGAAGTTCTATGGGATACATATTGGGGTCATATAATGTCGTCCGGAACCATATATGATCATTATTTGTTGTCATAAATGTTCATGGTAGACCTGAATTAATGAAATCGGTGCAAGTTGTAAACCGGTAAATTGGACGTTTAACAGCAAATTGGATGGTTCTACACACCCAATTGGACTCCCGGAGTGTATTAGGGACCATGGTAAATATTTTGGCAATTTTTATTTCTGGGCGAAAAAAAGTTGAAAATTTCCAAAATTGAAGGCTAATATCCACGTTTTTTTGAGAAATTTTTGAGGTTTCGGGGCCTGGTGTCGAAAAGTCTTAAAATTCTAGAGGATACATCCCAGGGTCATATAATTCCTTTTGGAGCCATTTATAATCATTAAGTGTTGTCATAAATGTTTGTGGTGGGCTTGATCTAATGAAATCGATACAAGTTGTCAACCGGTAAATTGGCCATTTAAAGGCAAATTGGATAGTTCAACCCACCCAATTGGACTCCCGGAGGGTATTAGGTACCATGGTAAAAATTTCGGCAATTTTTAATTACGGGCGAAAAAAAGTCAAAATATTCCAAAATTGAAGGCTAATATCCACACTTTTTGAGAAAATTTAGAGGTTTCGGGTCATGGTTTCTCAAAGCCTTGAGATTTTAGGGAATACATCTCGGGGTCATATAATGATGTTTGGCACCATATATGATCATTATATGTTGTCATAAATGTTCGTGGTAGGCTTGAGTTAATGAAATCGGTGTAAGTTGTAAATCTGTAAATTGGTCGTTTCAAGGCAAATTGGATGGTTCCACCCACCCAATTGGACTCACGGAGGTATTTGTAGGGAATATTTCAAGCATTACCCCAAACTTGAACCCCGCTGTGATCGTACACTAAAGCATGGTGGCCTCCAAATGGAAGGATGCTAGAGCAAAAGAGTCGCTAACAAGTTTTAGGAACTTGTAAACCGTTCACGAGGTGAAGGTTACACCCCTTAACGACCCCGGAGATCATCAACTCTAATAGGTATGGAACCAGGACTGATAGTTCGGGGATGAAGGTACAAATCCAACCTAAAAGAGATTGAACCTTCCCTAATAATAGGCCTCTACTTTATTCTGATCGTATTCATGTGCGCTTTCTGACTAACATGTAATCAATAGGATTAACTTTAAACCTGTTTATCTATGTTGGTTGAATATTAATGCACAAACAAAACTATTATTGGCGATCACTTGAATTATAATCAAATTAACCCTAAACAAGATTATTAATTATCTTATTAAGCGTGATTACAAGTACAAATTCCCTTTAAACATGCATAAAAGGCCTGATCAAGCAATAACAATAATATAATATCAAGCAACATAATAATAATCATAAAAATAGTGATAATTATGACAATTATAAAAATAATCATGAATCATCATCATAACAATTTATAATCATAATATTCATGTTAAAGCATAATAATAGCAAGATCCTAGGCATGATACTAACAAGATTAATAACAAGCCCTAGCATTTCACTAAACAATAAAAATAAAAGCTTTAACCCAAACATGATACTAACATAATATTAGGAAAGAAAATAGGAAGCATCGCAGGAATCATAATAAGCATATTTGATATTATAACCTTTTCCCTAAACATAATACTAGGAATCATTGTTGTCATTCAAAACATCAAGCATCCTAACATGATACTAGGAATCATAATAACAACCTAGACATGATTTCTATATCATAATATCAATGTAAACAATTAAAGCACTTACTTGAAGCCTCGTATTTCTTTCTAATAACAAAATACACGCGTTAGTAAATTCAAGGAAAATAATAAAACCAAACAATCAAATTAAATAATTGAAAGAGAGATTTGGGACCAAACCCTCAGAAATCAAAACCTTTCACGTCTAGGGCGAAGGCAAATTCAAACTTGGCTAGGTGTTTCTAGATCTTGTGAATGCG